CCCCCACCCAGTCGCCCAATTTCTTCCTCCACCATATTGTTTTGCATGTGTGTTTGCATTTTTGCATGTTGTTGTGCATATGCATGAATGTCTTATTGCATACCGCCTTGCATCTGTATGTTCTGTTGGAGTGTTTACAGCTTTGTAGTTGAACCTCCGTTTTCTCTTCTGTCCGGAGGCATCCTTGTCACTTCGGCAGGTATAAGTCTCACCACTTGGAGCTCCAGTTTATAGTCATAAGATAGAGTTTTCTTCCTTTGACCTTAGAGCTACCGAGGTTTTCGTGGATTATGCAATACTTACCGACATACCTTCTTTTCGGGCCCCTGCCGCTACGGCATGCCTACTTTCGGGTCACTGCCTTGCCGATATACCCTCTTCAGTTCACTATCTTACCACCTTTGTTTTTATTACCTTATCAGCATACCTCATGGGGTCGCTGTTCTGTGGTACCCCGACCTGACTACCTCTACCTCCTAAGATTATTTTTTCCTGCCTTTTGACTACCCCTGTTGAGTCATTTCTGCTCCTTTGACTTCGTTGGTGTCACTTTAACGGCCTGATGCCGATAAACTGCCATCTCTTCGGGATACGACGATTTGTCCATTTGGCATGGGAGATTCACTCTCCGCCCGATGGTGCAGCGTGACCTTCAAAGCATCGAGACTATTCCATACGAAATAATCACCTTTTGATAACATATACCCCAGGTTCATAATGATAAAGTGAAACACCTTCCATCAAGAATCTTCTTGGGTATCCCCCTATAAGTAATTAACCGGTAAGAATACGTTCCTTTGGGAGACTTTTAACCCTAGAACAAAAAAAATGTTCTCTTTGGTTCTCTAGTTATGGGTGGCTTATAAAGAGATTCTGCTCGTGATTTTTTTTTTTTTTCTCGCGGTACATCAATCTGATTTTGTTCGGATGTATACTCTCGACTCATCACACGAAGATTATCCCTATATAAGTCTTCCGTATCTTTTCTTTTTGATTTGTTTGTATATTTGTTGTAGTACGTTAGTTCGTTATTCGATTCCTCTACTCTTCAAGTCATTCATTTAGTTCGAGAGGGAGACTTACTCGAATAGGAAAATTTTACGGCGACATACAAAAAGGCAAGTTGGCGACTCCGAGATCTAAAAAAAACCAAAGGAGAAAAACAGGGAGTAAGACGTGGGAGTGAAGTTATGCCAAGGATTTCACGATCATGCCTCTGCAGAATCTTGTGGTCGGCAGGTTTCACTGGACAGCAAGAATCCGACGATAGGGATTTAAAATATCACGCCGACTTCCAATATAACATATTTTTTCCTATTTCTTAATTTTTAATTGGTTATTTTTTATGAAAGGACAATTTTATCTTGTATTTCCTTTTGTTCAGACTTTGATTTGTTTTGATTTTAGGGAGATCCTAATCTATGTTTCAACATCGAGTACTACATCATTTCCTTTAACAAGTGTTGTGTCTATATCTTGCTCGGAAACATGTGTTAAGCCGCCTTACCGCCCGAATGTTGCCTATTTGGATTTTGTTGTTTTCAGTTGCGACAGCAGTCGTGGCCGATTCAGCTGTCCGATAACAAATTTATCTATGCAACCTTGTCCAAACACTGTCAAACACATTTATATTCTCGTTTCCATTCCAAAACCACATCTTTGCTACATGACTCCTAAGTAGCTTCCAAGAGCCCTAAAACATTATCAGCCCCATCAGCAAAACTAACACAAAGTATAAAAACAATCCAAAATAAGTTACGGGTGTCAGGACACAGCGATGTGGCATTATAACGCACCAATGAGGGTCGAAGCGTTGCATTCGGGTGATGCAGTGTCGTGCCCTTAGGTTCTAAAACTGGACTAGGCACAGTGGTGTTGTCTTCTAGGGGTTGGGGCACTGTATGTATCAGAGTTAAGGCATCGCAGGTATCGCCTCAAGGCTCTATATGCACAAAAAAAGGCAGCATAAAGGAGGTAGTTGTCCGCCATAACCCCCAAAAAACTCACCGTCAAGCTTGATCGCCAAAATTGAGGGCTCTGAGATGACATTTGATTGACACAATCAGGGTCCACATAATAACATGTGGGTTCATGATGGTGTTTCTACATTCTCATTAAGATCATTTTATGAAATATTTGCTCCTTCTGTGCATTTTCGGTTGCAATATATTGTCCCCCTTCCTTTGCATTAATTTTCATCTCTACTGCATCCCTCAATAGTAAGTTCAAATACTGTTCTCACATTCATGGCACAATGTTTATACTTCTTTTAGGTCCCTCCTTCAGCTTTTGTCATTTCATTGCAGGTGCTCTATCTATTACGCTTACTCATTGGTGGCATTTGTACTACCTTTTTATTTATTATTATTGAATCTTAGGGGACTTTTTTACTATCATTTTGTGTTAGGATGTTTTGCTCTACTATTTAAATTATTTGTAACTGTTTGTGATAATCATGTTGGCAATCTCGAATGGCACTTACTTCGCAAGTTTGGTATTGTAAGAGCTTAGGTTCCAAAAAATGAGGAGAGAATTCCAAGTACTTTCTCAAATATTTTCTCTTGTTATTATTCCTGATTCTGGTAATCGAATCTTTTATTTTAAAGCTCTATCAGTATGGGATACAATCTAGTTTAAGGTTCACTTGATATGCTTCCTAAGTCCTTGTTTTCTCTTGCATAGGAATTACTAGATGAAATTTACAGTAAATGAAATTTTTTCGAACCCAACATATTATTTATTTCTTTATTTATACGTTTAACTTTTCCAAAAGAAAAAACACCAAAATATAAAAGCATAAGATTAATAACCACAAATTACACATTCTAAATTAAACATAAGCATCAATAAGAGCAAAAACTGAGTGTCTGGTGCAAAACACAGAATCAACTATCCTCGAGTTAATAACAAGATTAGAAACTGAAAACAGTGTACCGGATTAAGTTGATCATACTTGTACGGAATGAGTAAATGTTTGAATCTTTTTTTTACAAGCCAAATTAACCAGTTGATAAATCCAAATTAACTATTTGGTGAAGCAAAATTATCTATATGGTGAAGATGCAAGTATGCTTTATTACCAATTACTTTAAATGGAAGATATGCAATATGTTTCAAGCAAATAATTGCAGCATCTGCAGCTTAAATTGAGTTTGTAAGTAGTTTCAGCTGAAACAAGACAAGCTTTCAGGAATAAATAATTTCAAAGGTTCAAAAAGAAAAACAAAATCTATAATAAATTTTCACTCAAAATTCAATCAAAACTTCCAAGCATTTGTTGAAATAAAACAATAATTCTATCCCTAATCCCCAAACTTACATGCACATTGAAACAAAATATATGGCATTCAAAAGAGAATCATAAGCCAAGCACTTTTTTAGTTGTTCTAATCATGACAACAAAAAAACTAAATAAGCAAAATGGTGTCATGCCAACGGGTGTTATACTACAGATTCTGTGTTTATTGACTACAAAGCCTCATCCTTCAAAATAATGTTACATACAATATGTCATTTAAGTAATTACATTTTAAATATTCAAACAAAAGGAAGAAGACTAACATGTGTGAATTAATTTACAAGTTAATGTTATATCATTGTAATGAGCAGACTATATCATAATCCCTTTGAATTCATAATCATAGTTTTAGCTTTAAATTTCTCAAAATTATATCTAAAAAGACTTATTTTCCTTTTTTTTCTAAACTAAACAGCAAAGTTATCAATACAATTGAAATTTTAATAACGATATGGAAATCAAAATTAAGTTCAAAACAATGGTATAATATATTTACATGGCACAGAGCTCACATGGGCTCAAAATATAGCATAAAATAACATATACAACAATTAGTAGCACATGTTTCAACATGACTAAGTGATGAATTTCCTAAAACTTAAAATCATTCACCTTGATGAATTAATATTTGGTGTACCAAAGATATTCGAACTCAAGACCATACCAATAACGTGAGAAGGTGCGCTGCAAGAGAAAAAAAAATAATCAGTCAGCACTCCCAACTAAAGCGAACATTCAAATGACAGTAAATGCATACAGCACAATAAAATGAGTAAATTCATTACCATCAACATCAATCTCGTCTCAACTATTTTGGCTTAGTTTAATAGATACTTTCATCTTTATTCTTTAACAGTAACAATGGAAGGCCACAGCTTATAGGTTAGCACCTCAATAACTTGCAAGTGCAACTTACAAGTTGTCACAAATTTTTGTAAAGCATATGGTTAAGCTTTCAAGCTTGAAAGAAATATTCTTATATGTTTCATGCGTGTAATATAATAATTGAGTTAAAATAAAATAAAAATATTTTTAGCTTATCTTTAATCATTGCAGTTGGAGACAGCAAAAATTTCAATTGAGGTGTTGTTTCCTCATTTTTTATTAATTAATTTTCCAAAGGTTGTTTCCTCATAATCGGCTGACTTCATAACAGAGTAGCACAACAAGAGCCCTTAACATCAGCTGTTCAGTTTATTTTTCAAATACAAGCTTATTGTTTATCATCTGCTATATTAGAATATAGTCATACAATCTATACTCGTGTGTAATACAAGAGAGATCAAAAATCAACAAAAACTTCTTTTTAAACATTACTTCTTGCAATGTCATCATTAATTTAAAAGAGATCTTCATGTTCCTTTCAGATTGATTCATCCACACAACTTAAAGTTCCTTCAACCGTTTATTGTGCAAGTAAAAAATCCCCTAAAATCTATTTTCCACAATTTTGGCAATTGTTGCCAGTCCACAACATTTTAAATTATATAAACATTCTACTATTTTTTATAAGAGAAATCACATACATACCACATAATTCCTATGTATTTACAAATCCAACTCCTTAACTTTGCATTTTGACATTTATACTACCAAAAACTTTCATATAACATTAAAAATACCATCATTTTAACTTAAAAAAAAAAGGAAAAAACACCTTTTCATGTATACGCAAGGAGTCATGTATGTACAAATTGAAAGTTAGGTATTAGATATTAGAAATGTATATGCAAATGAATTGAGTGGTATGCATGTAAATTCCTTCTGTAAACATTCACCTACTTGATTTTATTCAATTTTACCACAAATAAAACATCAAACTCACATCTTGGCCACACTCAAAAAGACACTTAGCTATTCCAGCTACCAAAAGATTTTCAATAACATTAAACAAAACTATAGAGCACCTTGAGCCGAATTACTGCGTATCAAAATAAAGCACAAAAAAGAATATGTCATGAGAAGACTCCTACACAAAAATTCATGGCATGAACAGGCACAATCCACAAAAGGCTAATATTTAAAAGATCAATCACCTTTAAAAACTGGTTGTCAAGGATGATGTCAACTAAGCTACAAAAAGTATATCTGTCCGATGGGAGGGTGACCCGATAAGCCAACCGAGACACGGGAAAAAAAACTCATTTGTTAATTTGGACTTAAAACTCAAGCCCAGTTCTTAGCAAGAAAGCATGGCTATAAAAAAATCATAGACAGAACTTAAGAAAATTCAATTTTCATTAATATTTAAAAATTTATTTGAAGCCATTTGATAAGAGAACAAAGTTAGAAATCAATCTCATGCTTACTCATTACAATTTATTATTGCCCTTTAATTTCTTTCAAGGAATTCCAGTATAAAATAATAAACAATTATGAGCCTTGAATAGGAAAAAAGCTAAGGAAAAAGAAAAGAAACTGCAATTCCCCCCAAAAGAAAAAATATAAAAATCAAAAATAACACAATTGTTCACAATGAGTATAGCAAATGCTTTTGTTATAATGGAGTTAACCCAAACAGCAATACAGAGAGCAAATATTATTACTCAAAAAAGCAAATATGGCAAAGATTTGGAACTAAGAAATAGTAAAGACACAACACGACTCAACTAGTGCTTAGGTCGAGGGAGGTGGTGCTATGGTTTACGGAGAATATCTCGCATTCAAGTGGGAGAATGATTGGAAGGTAGCAATGGATGTCTGTGGTTGGTTGTCGGATGGCAGGAAGGTGGGCGACCGCAAGGTATGGTCAGGTGGCTGCAGCAAGAAAGTGTTGGCAGGGTGTTGTACAGGGTGGGGAGGCTCACGACAGCAACGAGAAGAGGTGCTAGGTTGTGGCAGCGTCGCCAGATGGGAGGACAGCGATATTACAGCAAGGAAGGGCTTGCAAAGCTGTGGCGGTCATGTCAGATGGCGAGACAATGTTAGAACATAAAAGTAAGAAGTGGTGGGCTGCAGCTGTTAAGGTTGAGGTCTGGGACAGCAAAAGCAGTGAAGCAGGTGGTTGGGACAGCGAGGGGCAGCAAAGAGGAAGGGCAGCGGTCTGTGGAATAGCAAAGAAGAGAGTTTTCCATGTACTGCGGAAGCGAAGCGTGGTTGGAAAGGTGGCAAAAGAGTTAGGTAAAGATAACTATACCCACGAGATTAAAATATAGCCAGAGCACCACTCAAACCCTTGGTGTTGGTCACCACCTCGGATGAGTTACAGCCGAAGCACCTTGTAGCCAACAGCATTCCTAAATAAAAAAATACAACAAAAACTGACTTCCAAAACCTAATACAACACACAAAAGAAAAAAAAAACTAAAAAGAAATAAAAGAAAATAGGTAAATAAACATAAGAAATGAATTTCGGATTGTTTCGGAGGCCCGTCTCCCATCCCCCACAATATTGAATTTTGTGACACTATAGCAGCTACAGCACCGCAAGAAAACATAATGCTAAAGCTTTTGTGTCCCTTTCATTCCTTTATAAGCAAGTGGAAAGCATATGGCAGGTGGATAGGCTGTTGGTGGCTTTTATGTGAAATGAATAGTTAGGAAAAGAAAGGTAGAAAAATACCAAGGCCTTACATGGAAAGAGCATTTAGAAAGATGCAATAGTTGCATGCATAAATGGAAAGCAATCGATAGCAGCAGCCACAAGGAGGATCAATTGCCTAGCCTGTACGGGAGGCCTAAAAGCTCGCAAGAGAACAAAAAAGGTGAAAAAGCAGTGTAATTTACGGTCTAAGTGTGGGCTGGCAAATGATAGTAAAGGCATGACTGCAAGATTCTCAAACCCCCCTCTCAAGTTAAGCATATATGCTTATCATTCTTAGCTTGGAAATAAAATTTGTGAAATTGTGATTATTGTGTACCGACCAAGTCCTAAGGCTTTGAATAACAAATAAGAGGAACAAACGGTAGGATAATGAGTTCAAATTTAATTACAATCACTAGCTGTTAAAAATTATTATTTAATGAATCCAAACTGCCACTAATAAATAAAATTTAAATCAATTTACTAGTAAATTAGTTATGAATGTAATAATTTATCTCTAATTTGGCCTCTAGCCCATTACTAAACCCTAAAAAATATTAGTTAAAATTATCGTAAATTATCAACAACTGAATGAATACTCGTATCCCTAAAATTACAATAACAAATGGTCATGAAAAAATTTTAAATTATTTTATTGTACAATAATACTGATATTATATATTACCTATATTTTTTACATATAATAATCAGCCACAAAATAATTACAAAATAAAAATATAAATTAATATACTTCAATATCAATATTTTTTTTCAGTTTACATGCACGGATATATTAGTATCCTCAGCTAGTATCATTATAAAGTGAACTCCATTAGCCAGAATACACATGTAACCATTATATGTAATTCATTTCAATCATATTTTCATAATTAATATTGTAATGAGGGAACTCCATCGCTCGGCTCCACCCTTCCCTGCTCGCGACTCCACAAAAACAAGAAAGGAAGCTCGATTGAGCAACACAATCGACTTCCTCTTCAGTTTGACTAGGGCATGGATCCCGTCATTCTCAGTTCTTCAATGACATGCAAGCACGTAATAATAACCACTTAAGTTATAATCAACTAAACTATTAAAAAAAATGAAATTAACTATTTACAACACATGAGAGGCAGGTGTCATTACCTATATTTGGTGTCGCCAACCAAAAATAGCATTTTTCTATCGTTTTATGATGTTTCAGCCACCCAGCCATCCGCCCTTTTCCTTCCAACCTGTTGTCCTTGCCGCAACTCCGCCCCATCACTAAAGTCATCCACACCTTCTATTGTCGCCGCGCCTTCCAGCCTTAACCCACACCTTGTTACCTCATCGAAGGGTCAAACCCTCACCGATCACCACCGCCACCACCACAAGATTTCACCCAAGTTTGATTATTTGTATCATCTCTGCTGCAATTTCTAATTTTCGGTTGTCGTGTTATTTTTTTTCTTTCAAGTGTGTTAATTGTAACTGTTTAATTACTTCAAGTAATAATATTTGTTTTTCTATTATGATTTGAGTTAACTCCAGTATTTTTTGGTATTAGATCTAGCCGAACCCTAATCCTACCCTAAGGTCTCCTAGCGTCCGCCATAAATCAAAAATTTTCTTTCCTACCACCAAATAGCATTTCCACTTCCACAAATCCCAACCCTAACCATACCACCAAAGAGATACATGTCGAACCCTGCCCAGAAAAAGATACAAAGGGAGATCTGTTGAGAGACCACTTCACCGAGCGACCAATACAACTTACAGACAGAGTTCAACTTCAAAATCTAAAAACCAGAATACAACCAGAAAAACAACCAAGCTGATCCAGTTAGATGAAAAGCTGACTAAAAGTGAAGAACAATTGGAACCAAACCTCACTCCTAACTAAGAAGATTTCAGAGATGATTTTCAGCTTCAGACCGGCAAAAAGACGTCGGCGATTAGAGTTGAAACTTAGAGAAAGAGTCCAACTGAGTTGAAAATAACTATTCTAGAAGTTATTAAGTCTGAGGTAATAGGCAGTCATGCAAAGTATGAAATTGTGGTGCCTCAAGCAACTGGTACGTAGACGAAGAGAGGAGCATCAACAGGCTAGCATTGGAAGTCCAAAAGGTTCATGAGTTTGGAAAGCCGATAACAGACAAAGAATAATCCCATATGAGAG